TGGTCCTGTGGCGACAAAGGAAAATACCGAATCCTCCAAGCTTCGTCTCAAGCGCCTTCTCCAAGTCGCATTAAGTACCGAATCGACGTGCTCTATGGTACTAGTATCATCTTGACCGTAAAAACTTGGTTAAATCTGCTTGGAGGCTTCACCCTTGGAGGTAACGCCACTCTGTTGTACCACTCTGGATAAGGAGACTTGTATGAATAAGATTGATTTTTTGGCTTCAAGCCGAACTGATTCTGCATCATATCAGCCATCCATCAAAACATCAATGCCTGAATCCTGATTTCCTTGTACTTGCACTCCATAAGGCAATCCTGAAACACTCCTATACCCTGGATTTGGCACAGCATTGATAGCGCTGTAATCAGTAAATTCTTGATACACATCTCCATACATATTCTTCTGCAATCTGTTTGATGCTGGAGAAACTCTATAAGCTGAAGGTGGCACTTCTCCTGTGGTACCAAATGTCACCTGGCCATAGGTGGGATGTGATTGCTTCTCAGTGTGAGTCAATCCACCTACATTTGAAGGCGACGCTGCTTCTTTTCCAACAGGTTTCTCTTGATGCTTTGGAACATTGAAAAGCGTCGGTCCACTGAGTGGTCCAACATTTTCTTCAAAGTATTTATCAACCATTGGACCAAAAGTACTGATCATGATTGCCCAAAAGGTATTCAGAAAAGCTGTGTGATGGTTTGTCATGGTTTCTCCTATAGCTTTATAGACCGTGGCTGCCATCTTCCGAGCATCCTCCTCTTCAAAGGTAATCAGCTTTGATGCGGAAGAAGAACCCTTGGCATTGACCGCTTTTGAAACACTTTATTGCTCTTGTTTTTGAAAAAGACATCAAACACTTCATTGGTATTGCTCACATGCTTGTAGCACTAAATCCTCAGTAATTATCCGCAATTCGCCATGCTCACATCCGCAACATGATCATTGTTGATCTCGGACGCCATCTTAAACTAACAGATTGTCCCACCAGCGTGCCAAAAAAGTGTGTTGACACAAATGTAACGCATGTGCCTCTCACACACAAGCAAGTTTCGGAAAGCGTGGCTTCAATCGGGTTCCCGGTGCTTCGTGATCCGAAGCGCGCCTACCGGTTTGACCTGAAAACTAACAAGGGATAAAACAATTAATGCCAAACCGAACATGTCGGGTGAGACCAGACAGTTCCACATATACGGCCCTGAAGCCACTTACAACGACATACGGCTATAGAGAGCTGTCTGCCAACAAGTTTATAAACCATTCAAATAATCGTAAGATGAATGCACGTAAAGACCTGATTGCGAATGCATGTGCATGGGAAGACATGTTTGAACAAGTGAAATTAATTATGAGTTAATGCATAACCAAGCTCAAAGATCCAAATTAATTGGGGTCCATGAAGAAGGAACGTGCAAATAAAACGATTAAACTAATCTAAAACCTCAGATCCGCCGCGACGACAATGTAGTTTCGTTAAAGCTTAAACGTGATTAACATGCATGAACCCATGACATGTGACAATCTAGATTAAAATAATTCAGCCATTATGAGCATGTTATCTATTTGCAAAGGTAATATGAAAAGCAATGATCGTTGAAGCACCTAATAAAACCATAAGAGAGAGCCGAACAATATCAATCTAGATTGGGCGTATGTGTTACAAATATATAAAATATTTAAAACATGCAACATCGGATAACTTAATGAATCTATTTAGATTTGCCATATCTAATAGAGCCGATAACTATCTTGCTTTCACTAAGCATATTGAGCAAACGTCACGCATTTCGGTATCTACTCATAAACAAAGCATAAGCAAAGACTTCTTGATTGTTAAGCAAAGATCCGCCGCACGACCATTGAAAACAAACAAGACTACTTGCATCACGTCTAAATCCACCGCATGATACTAAACATGATAACAAGGTTGTCGGAACTTACGGAGGTCGACGGATCGATGACTCCTCTCAAAGAACTCGACGACACGACAAAAGGACTCAAAAGTTGGCACGGGGCCGGTTGTATTGATTTGGTTGTGAACCCCTATTACAATGGTCGAGGGTCAATATTTATACCCTAAACAAAACACGAGTCCTAGAAGACTACGATTTATAAAGGAACTTTTAAACAAACTTGGAAACTTACGATTCCTTACCCTAAACTCTCAGAGTCCTTTATTATTACAACTTTCATCTTTTCGATCGGCCTCGCCTGCCATCTTCTGCTTTCCCGAATGAAGTCACCGCCTTCTGGAGTAACCGACCGCACAAGCACTTAGCCGACCGCTTGTTTTGTTTGCCGAATACCCTTCTTCCCGCATGCGGGTCCACCTGTCATCCTCCAGAATCGACCAAAATCCAGTGTTAACAGTGTGTAAACGAGCTAAACGGCCGTTTAGGCAAACAGTGCATGTGACTGATGAATAATTGTCAATGGATGTGATTGGGGCTTTGGTTTAGTGTGTTGAGACTAATCAGGGCGAAAGTTGTGTGCGCAACATGTCTCTTGTCTTGATCTGAAATAGTAATATTATGTTTTAATACCTCATAACCTCTAGACCCGTTTGACATGATTTTTTGTTGTGTTAGTTCAAGTATTTTATCTAGTTAGTTCAGAGAAAGCAGGACACGTGAGCTGGCCACAGGAGACCCAACCGAAGGCAGAGGAAGCGAAGCAGGCCGTGTCCTCAGCTGGTGTCCGGCCTACCTGCACGGCGGGTCGATGGCCGTGTCCCTGCCCGCCATCGCCTCGGCCGCCGTGGACGGGTCTCCGCCCCCAAGGCCGATGGCTGGCAGGAGATCCTTGCTCGGCAGGACACGCGACCGGCGGCCGCCTCGGATGAGAAGCAGCTGTCGTAGACCTAGAAGATTCCTGCAGAGCTTCATGGCAGATGTTTCAACTTTCCTACTCGCACCGAGTAGCGACTTATCGGTTGCCCCGGCGTTGTCTGTGCTACGGCTTCCGCCACCTCGCTAGGGACTGCAAGCGGCCTAGGCATGCTGCGACGTCGACGACAAAGGGTGGTGACCAGCCTCGCCACTCTGCTCGTGGTGGCAACCCACGGGTCTCCCAGCACGCGCCCCCACGGCGGCTCGGACAGGGCCGTGCTGGATGCCGTGGGGGATTTTACCTTGGGCGCGCCTGTCGACTGCGCCGACTACGCTGCTCCAGCTGCTGCTGCACTCTGCTTCCTCAAGCCTGATAAGCTGGGATTGGAGCTATGAGTGAGTGCAAGGCTTCCGCGTGGGTCGACCCTATGCTGCAAGAGCTCGTCGCCTCACTCATCATGAGTCGCCCAGCAGGAGCAACAGCGGCTGGGTGCCCGTCGGCTTCGGCAGTAGCCGCTTAGGAAGACACATCCCTGGTGGACACCTGCTCTTCGGTGAAGGAGGTCACTACCTCGCTCGTCGTGAGCCCCCCAGCAGGAGCACTAGCGCATGGGTGCTCACTTGCTCTGGCGGCCGCCTCTCAGGAAGCGGACACATCGCTGGTGGACACCTATTCTCCGGCGAAGGTTGCCCAGTGGATAACGGACACGCCTCCGTTGTCGCCTGTGCAGGGGCCACCACAGGTCACGCCGCCATGGAGGATAGCCTGACATCGTGGATGCCAGGGCGCTCCCTGACCCAGTGCTGGTCGGGGCAGCGACGGACACCATCAACCGCACTTCATCCCCTCAGATGACATCTGCCGACAGATGCCTCAAGTGCTTCACTGAGCGAATCACAAAGGTGAGGCAGCCGCCACTCCTGGAGCTGCCCAGAGATGATACGGCCCACAACGGACGTACACCACCCGCTTGGCTCCCCAAGAGGAGCAAGCAGATAGTGGCGCAGACCATATCTCATATCCTGGCGTCCAAACGAGGTGAACACCTTGTCTTGATGCGCCTAGGACTAACCAGCGGGATGTCTCCGTCAACGTCGCCCCTGAAGGTATACGAAGAAATCTACAGCGATGATCCCGTGAATATGCAGGCTATGCAGGCACTACGTGAATTGTTCCCACGGGACAGCAACGTGGGTGCGCGTTCACGCAAGCAGGCGCCGCCGCCGCTCGGCAGCCCGGGCATAGGCCTCCTAGCCGGCGCCGTAATTCAGGATGATCAATGTCCAATGTAACAGCATATCTTTCAGTACACTAGAGGGTCTGAGCGTCCATGTAAAATTTATTGACCCCCTAGGGCGCCGCTAAGGCGTGTTGTAACGAACATTTTCTCTACAGAGACATGCAAACCTTTTGTGTGATTGAGAAAAAAAATTCAAAATAATAAAATCAGTGAGATGCTGTTGTCCCAATGGTTAATGTGAACATGAGATTGTAGGTGTTAGTAGTTAGTACATACAAGGGATATGAGCTTTAGTGGGGGGTAAACAATGGGGTTGCTCATCCGTACAGAATTCAGTTACATTCCATTTTTTACCCACACATTTCAGAAGTCAGTCTACGGTTACATTTACATAGTCATTCTAACGACATTGTTTTGGTACAATCAGCATATTCCAGAGCTGTACTCGTGTACCATATATATGCCTTGGAGATTTTGTTGCGTCCATACAACGGATCAGAGGGAGAAAGTAACAGTTGAGTCAATGAATTATCTCACACTTTTACCAACAGAGCTCCAGACGTCCACGAACCATATATCCCCTGTTAGTTGCTCCATGCATGTTTTTTCTATAGCTCAAAACAATGGATGCATATACTGGATTACCGAATACAAGCTAGTTCATGAACTTCTCAGCCGATTCAGGTTCTTGATTGAAGCAAGCAATTGCCACTGCCTCAATAGAATCCCAGTGGTAGAGCTGATTTGTGGCAAGCATTTAGGGAGGCTCCATAGCCTGCCACAGAGAACAAACAGTTGAAATTTTATGATTTCCACATTTGCTAGCTAGTATATTGATTGTAAATGGGTGTTGTCATGATGAAGATCATGCTTCTATTTTCTGAAAGCGAAAACAAAAGAAGAGAGGTACCTGGAGGCTGTGATTTAGTTAGGCAGCTATAACCATTCTGCTAGGGGTTCCTGGGCTCTGCATTCTACTATCAGCAGATTTACCTACCAAGAACAAATGGCAAAAGGTAATGAGTCTTAGTAACCACACAATTCAAGGAAACATCAAATTCATAGCAGGGTACAAGATGGGACACATCAATTGAAGAAACTTCGTGGGTACTAGACTTCTAATCAATATGAATCCTACAAAAGTTGATACAAAACTGATACTACGTGTGCTGCTAATCACAGCTATACTAATATTTCCTTTGACCAAAGCTAGCAGTATATTAATTCATTTTCCCATTTTCACTGATTTCAGAACTTCCTTTGCGTGTTTGTTTTAATTATTAAAATATCTATTCAACCAAAATTGTTGAGGTTATGTACATCGGTATTTTCTCACCTCGTTTGTCTGGCCGCCTTCTGCTACGCCACAATAACCGAATAGGGGTGCCTGGAAAACCAGCATCTGACCGGAGTTTCTTTTCCATGTAACGGCGGTATGTATCAGGGAAGAGCTTCGCATCATTTACAAACAAAACGAATGTTGGTGGACCAATGGCAGCCTACAAATTAGCAAAAACTTTTCTTCAGATGCAAAGTAATGCACAAGTCAGTTTAATGATAGTAGTTTTGAAATATATCTGAAAGCAGTAAAAGATTTTGAGTCACTTGCTTGAAAAGTTGAAATCTTCTCAACTAAGCTTCTAGTTATTTCTAGATACTGTTATTCCTTTATGGTTGAATTAACAAGACAAGATATGTAGGATGATGTGCTGGATCAATTGTTATATTGATAATTATTTAAGAGAAACTCCAATGTTTTTCATCTGAAGATAAGAACTCCTAGAAATGCCAGTAGAAACAATCCTCCTGTACCACTCCTTTCAAATGGTTGCCGTTATTTATCACAACCCAACTCAAAATCTACAAGCTGACACAACAACACCTCGGTGGTGGGGCCTGTGGTCACACATTGCGTTCTCCCAAAGATGCCCTTGTGACCTACACACCATGGTAGGTAAAAGTAACGAGTACCAACTTGCACCCGTGAGATCTACCACTATGGCTTGTTCGACATGCATTGATGTTGCCTAGAACCTCTGCATCCTCCAATAGGTTGCCCTAAACCATCAATCTCATCTACCTTTATCAACAGCCATGAGAAGGAAGCTGGGAGAGGAGGAAGTGGCATCAACTTCAGAGGAAGTAACCTCCTTATCATGTTCTCTACGCAGGTAACTCTTTAAAAATTCATTAGGCACATCTGAAACAAGTTTTGGTCTACAAATCCTTGTCCAATACAACATCTAAAGAGAAGAACCATCATATGTGAACCCAGAAAAGGAAAGACTACTTTTTAGGATAAACAAAAAACATTTCAGATCTTAACAGTTGAGCCTAGAGGGTCTGGCAGCAATGCAAAACAGAGGTGTTCATTAGGAAAAAGTGGCACTGAAAGATACTTAATTTTCAGCAGCATGTCAGGGATCTAATCATCTTTGGGCGGCATTTCAGGATTCTTGTTTGATTATTTTGTCAGCAAGCTGGGAAGTGCAAACTTGATGGCAGAAAAAAATGTAGTAGTGGCATTTTCAGCTTGTACTATGAAGATGGTATCATATACACAGTGGCTTGAAGTTACCTGTGTTGTGTAATAGACACGACCTCTTTTGCCACCTCTTGTTCTTGGTGGTGGTTTGAATGCTATAGCTTCTCTAATAACTTGATTAAGAATGGAGGTGCCGAGTCTTCTAGACCTTTCCTTCTCAACCAAAGCAGCAGCAGAAATTATCCTGAAGAGAATTTAGTACAGCATATTATAGAATATCAACACAGGAAACGGTATCTATTTTGGGGAGCTAACCATCATATAGGGGTTATGCAAAGCAGGTGTTTAGATCACATGTAACAGTAGTACAGAACTAAGAATGTTGAGGGGAAATAAAAGTTAATGGATTCAACAGAAGTTTCACAAGTCTGAAAGAAATAGAGATACAATAACAATTAAAAGCTGCTAGTAGATTTGGGCATAAAAAATGAAGAGTTTACTTTTCAACACTAGAGCCATTTGTCGCAGAACAGTAGACAATAGGTGCCCAGTCAAGTATGCGAAGCTTCTCTCTTACATCTTGTTCATAATGTGTCGTACTCTCATGGTTCTTGTTTGGGATTGTATCCCATTTGTTCACAACAATGACACAAGCCTTTCCTTCTTTCTCAATCCTCTCTGCAATTTTATAATCCTTGATACCACAAGAATTCATTGTGTTAAAATGAACATACAAGACAGTCATGTATCTCTTCATGGGTCTAAACATATATGTGTTCATGGTTAACATACCTGCTCTGTAACACAGGCCATTGCTTCAATAACAAGGGCAACCACATCAGAGCGCCGAATTGCTCAAAATGCACGCTTTACAGAAAGTGATTCCGTTGTGCTGCCAGCAGAAATAACTGCTGCCCTGCGCCGGATCCCAGCAGTATCAATGAGTTTGTACTTCTGCAGCATATTTGAGCAAAAATAATCATGCTTTCTAAGTCACAATTTTATTCTGTTACGAAGAAGTAGTGACCATAATTAGGGTGTTCAATGGAACAATGTAGCAGCAGATTTAATTAAACATTGGCAAAAGGGACCAGACCTCCCCATCTGCTGTAATAAACTCAGTGTCAATGGCATCGCGTGTTGTCCCACTAACTGGGCTCACAATAGTTCTATCTTCTCCAACCAAAGCATTTAGAATGCTACTTTTCCCCACATTTGGTCTTCCCACAATTGCAATAGCAGGAACCTTATTTTTCTCTTCTTCAACTGCATCCAATCCCTGCAATACCCATGAGTTACTTTATGTTATGAAATTGACAAAGTATTAAAGTATCTTCACATAGAAAATAAAAAGTAAAGAAGTCACATGTTCAAGAGTTTTAAAGACATAAATTTCTGAAGCAAGGTTAAGGCTTCCATAGTCAAATAGAAAAATTCCCCACATGCCACTGGGTAAAACCTAAATCCCTCATATGCCACTCTCAGTCAGTGTGGGGGTCCCACCTGTCGTAGACACATCGATAGAATATGACTGAGGGATTATGAGTTTTTTCATTGGCATATAAGGAAATTCCCTTGATATAGTTGATAAATCCATGTGGGGTTTCCACTCTGCTGCATTTTCTACTTTCTAGAAGCTTTATCTTGTCTCTGATTGTAAGTAACTATACTTGTTTTGCTTCCACTGTCAAGTGCCATGTAGCTATCGTCATATTGTCCAATCTTTGTTTCATAAATATTTCATTAGCATTCTGTCATTAGCAGAAAAAAGCATCAAGAAACAAATATTTGGGTAAACCAGTTTCCATACCTCAAATTTTTTGAGCTCTGAACACACCAGGTCAAGGAGATCTCCAGTTCCTGTGCCAGTAATAGCAGAAATTGGCAGAGGAGAAAACCTAGTAGGAACCAACAGAAAGATGAGCTGAACAGCTTAGCTGACTGTTGGGCAGTAAATGTTAGAGTACGTCATGGGCCTATTGGGCCTGGGCTTGCGGTATAGCCCGTTAGAGTTAGGGTTAATTAGAGATAAGGGTCGCTTGCTTAGGGGTCAAGTAAGCGGGGAGTCAAGTAAACCTCTCTATATAAGGAGAGGAGATGTATCAATCTAATTAAGCAAGAATTAAGAAGAAAATCCCTTCCCTCTTGCTCGGCCGTGGGCAAGGCCCCTGGCTGGCCTCCTCTCCCCCTCGCAGCCCCAGCCGCCACAAACATCCGGCATGAACAGTACCCGCGGTACTGTAGCTCCGCGAGTGCTGTGCTACCATTTTGACCTTAGAGAGGGTGGTGTTCAAATGAGCTTAGGGCGTTAAATTCTCGAAACAGTTATAGCTTATTTCATAATTTAAATCAAACAACAGACACTAGTGAATATTTTTACTTTATCCATGCGTGTTGTTTGGCTTTTGTATTTGAGCAGTGCTGCAATACACCATATCTAGTGTCATGTTTTAACTACAATTGTTGTCCAAAGTATCACATGAAAGAACCAATACATTATTGTATATATGTTGAGATGCAAAGAAAACAATGAGTGATTTTAGAGAGAGAGATAGTTATATGCTCACCCTAGTGACCAAAAGTCTAATGCTTGCATTTGCCCTTTCCGTGGAGATTCACACTTATTGACAGCAAGTATAACACACTTGTCAGAGTAGTTGCGTCGTAACCAATCAGAAATCTCTGTATCGGCTGCCACAAGACCAGCCTGAAATATGTTTTCACACCATTATGCTACTAAACACGGAACTTACATAATAAGTTATAGAACAACAATATCTGGTCAAAAAATGTTTAAGAGAAGTATTAGAAGTAGATGTATTTAATGTCGATGTGAATTCAAATATCAAGCAACCACTTCCCAGAACTGAAAATAAAAGGTAATTGCCTAAACCTGCCTGACCATCCACGACAAATAGTATGATGGATGCTTCATCAACAGCTGCAACTGCTTGTTTTTCAATCATTGATGGCATCCTTGCAACAGCAGCTTCTCTAGTGGCGAGAGGAATACCGTCCATACCAACAGTAGTGGTGACAGCAAGTTCTTCCATCACACCTGCTTGAGACTTTGACAAAGTAATTACCCCACCAGTATCAATAACCATAAACTCCTGATCACCCCAATAAGATCGTCCATATAAGCGATCCCTTGTCACACCAGGTTCATCAACAACTATAGCCCTATTGCCCTGCAAGAAATCATAATTCAGTTTACTTCTGCATTCTGGTCAGAAAGTTGTATGGTGATCAACATTGCTGGCACTACTCTAAGGGATGATTGACATACTCCGACAAGACGGTTGAACAGCGCAGATTTACCAACATTTGGCTTCCCAATAATTGCCACCTTCGGAAGAAGATTATCTGGAATCTGAATCATGTATAGGCGAGTTACATCAAAAGAATTTTTTTTCATCATCTGGGCATTTCATTCAGTAGAACATCAATGTATGTATACTGACATGTTTAGACACAGATGTCTTATCCCTGATGTTTCTTCGTTTCTCCCTGACATCATCATCTGAAATGCAATTATTGTATGGATTACTGAAAAATGAACTAGTGCACATAACAGTGGCTCTCTGATGAAAAACGGACACAACATTTCACCCTAAAGTTTTGTAACCATAGGAGGCTAAACAGGCATTGTGATTTCAATGCTACTGACTAGTTCTTCAGTGCCATTAAATATCCAAATAGTGGTATCTGCAGAACCCAAAACCGAATATGACACAGACCAAGTGGCAGCGATAAAATGTGCAAATTATGCATTTTCTGAGCAAATCTTGCAGAATCCAGCTGACACAACAAAAATTTCGCTAGCAGCTCACCGATGTGGAGCTCCCGTGCGAGGCGTTTGGCGAGGTCGGCGGCGGCGCCGCGGGCCTCCTCCTCCATCGCCTCCACGTCCATCTCCTCCTCATCTTCATCCACCTCCCACTCCTCCTCCTCTTCGCCGTCGTATTCGTACTCCTCGTCATCATCACCGTCGTCATCGAACTGATAATCGGCAGAGATTTTCTGCGCGGCTGAAGCGCGGAGCCTAGCGCCGCAGCGACGTGCGGGCGCGGGGAAGGAGAGGAGCAGCGGACGCGGGGCGGAGGCGGCGGGCGGGGACCTGTGGTGGAGCGGGCGGGAATGACGAGGCGTCAGGGTTTTAGAGGGTAGGCGAGGGGGATGCGAGGAGGAGGCGGAGGAGAAGGGCGCCATGGCGGCCATGGCGCTGCGGCTGGCGGCTGGCGGCGGCGGCGGGGAGCAGAGCAGCGCAAGCAGTGTGCGAGCGGGCGGGCGGATAAGGGAGTGAATGCGAATTGGGAGTGCCGTTATTAACGGACGGCGGGTAGGGTGAGTATGGCAGGTGGGGCCGGGATGTCAGGAAGTAAGGGAGATGGGACCCAATCGAGAAGTGGCTGAGTTGTCTGTCTTCTGTCGTAGAGAAAGATGCGATTTTGGTGCCGTGTTTAGAAGAGCCATGATTTGTTCTTAAAAATCCAAATTTATTAGCTTTCGTACAATTTTTTTTCAAAAAAAAAACGAACCGGCAGGAGTTCGAACAAAAAAATTTGGATCCAATCAAACACGTATGTATTATATTGTGCTCAAGTATATCGTCGAATAGCGAACCAATTTAATTGTGATTTGTCAGCAATGCCTGCAAGAAAACAGAATTAAAGGGTTTTACGCAGCTGTTTATTCCACGGCGTATAAATTAATTAAAAGTTTTGCGCAGCTGTTTATTCGGCGGCGTAAAGGGATTCGGTGCAAGAGGTATAGAGTGGCATTACAGGTGTTTTCATATGGTTTTATGTAGATTATTAACTTATGGAGCGCATATACATTTTCACCCTGTTCGCTTGTTGGTTCCAGCCAGGCTTATTTAACCAGCCAATAGTATTTTTCTCTCACAAAAAACCAGCACCAGCCAGTCCAAATCAGCACCAGCACCGATCAGCGAACATGCCGTTTAGCTTTAGAAGTTAAGTTACTACGCCCAACCAAAAAAAACTTGATTGATATTGATTATTCAAATTTTAGCTTCGACTATATTGAACCAATCTACAGTTCTTCTCATCTCGGTGCAGGGTAGTATAGTACGTTGTACAGATTTTTTAGATTAATTAGGAGTTTGGTTAACGTCAACCCTCGCAAAGGGTACACATGCTGGCATGCATAATAATGGTGTACATGGTGCATTATCTTGTCTTGTATTCTTGTTTAGGTTAAGAAATAAATACGCTTTCTCAGTGACAATGGGCCTGTTCGCTGGATGGTGTTGGTGCTGGTTTGGGTTGGCTGGTGCTGGTTTTTTGTGAGAGAAAAACACTGTTGGCTGGCTGGTTTGGGCTGGCTGAAACCAACAAGCGAACAGGCTGAATATAGGACATGTTTTCGGAACGTAGGAATTTACGTAGGAATTTTACAGAAATCAGTTCAACTTATTAGAAAAAATGTGTGACTATGGAACAAAAAAAAGTCCCAACTCTAAAATGAGGACTAAAGTGTTACTCCTTCCGTCCAGAAAAAAATACAATTCTAGCATATTGTCATGGTTCAGTATCTTAAGTTTGATCAATTATAGATAAAAAAAGTATCAATATTTATGATATCAAATTAATATCATTAGATTGATTACGAAATGTATTTTCTTAATAAATTATTTTGGAGCCATAAATGTGAATAGTATTTACTAGAAATTTAGTCAAACATGAACTATTTTTACTGGCACGCAACCCGTAGTTGCATTCTTTTCTGGACGGATGGAGTACTTGTCATTGTCAAGGAAAAAAACAGTTGATTAAATCTAGGGGCTAACGTTTAGGGGTGTCATCTCGGACGTCATATGAGAGTGTTCGGATAGTAAAAATAAAATAAATTACAGAAGTCCTCAGTAATCACAGTTGCAAATGCAGTGATTCATTTGGGTACAAATGCATCCCATAATAGTCTCGCTTATTGGTTTCAGCCAGAGCTTATCAGTTATGGTACAGTATTTTTTTCTCATAACAAACCAGCACAAGTCGAACTTATCAGTTTATAAACCTACCGGCGAACAGACTGACTATAAGATCAAATCTGACACATGACTGATTGCAGTAAATAGATGGATGAGACGACAGATGATATAACCTAAACAAACAGAGTAGTACGTACTAGAACTACTACTTCCTCTAGCGACCAGGAGGACCCTGATAACGGCCGTCGTCGTCATCCACCTTCCCGTCGGCGTACACAAGAACCTTCTGGTACTGCCTCAGGACGCGCTCCTCCATCTTGATAAGCGACTTGATCGCAGCCTCACCGTCTCGGAGAAGCTCCCGGAGATTGGGGAACGCCTCGAAGAAGGATTGACGCCAGGAGGCTTTATCGGAGGAAGCCTCTGAAGCCTGTTGATGTGTAATCGTCCGACGCCCTGACCACCTTCTCCTTTGCCTCCTTCGCCGCCGCCGCCGCCGCCGCCTCGACGCTGCTCTCCGACGACATCCTGCACGCACGCAGCCAAGGGGGGTCTAACGCGGGTCGCGACTCGCGAGGTCGTTTGTTTATTTGGCGGACGGAGCCGGCAGGCCGGCCGACCGGTCGTGTTGGCCCACAACACAACACAGGAGGCCCAGGGCCCAGGCCCACAACGGTTCACGCAGCAGGGGCGCAACTCATCCCCGCCAGGTGCCGGGTTCTCCTCTTATCATTCGCACCATCCGGCCCATCTTTTGAGAGAGGGCATCGATGGCCGTAGACGTGGGATCGATCAATCAGAGGTGTGGATGTTGGTGAAGCCATAGTGTTGGAAATCAGAAGTCGATCCATCCACACGATGAACAGTCATATACGGGGAAAAACTTAGGGCTGAACTGAATTTGTGGTGGATTTGAGGCTTCTTGATACCAATTATCACGGTTCCAGACCGGCAAATCTCAACAATATGGATAATTTGTTCCAGACCGGCAAATCTCAACAATCTCTAAAGAACTCGATGGAACTTAGATCCAGATGCTGAAATCATGGCTTGGAACTCGTCCAATCACAGTTGTAAAAGGCAGTGACTCGTCCAATCACATACAAAAACACAAATTTGAATCCGTTTCAACTTGTTTCAAAAGGGTGCACGGGAATACAAGGTAAACCTGAAATTACGCTTTCCCAATGAGAACGTAGACACGTTGCATTATTCAAGCAAGTACCGTAAGCAACAAACAGTTGAACGGTTTGGATCTTGTCCTGGGATTGGAAGTGACAACATTGGTGGTTATTAACAGGTAAACATCACGTCACATCACCACAAGGAAGCTCTGAGTTAGATGAACCTCCACACTAGCTCGACAACGACACTCGATCGAGCATATGGCTGATGATCTACCTCCGTTATACAACTACATGTGAGGTGTGTCAATTAGTAGCTCGCATGAATACAGCTTGGACAAAGATTAATGCGCCGTCCAGCTTATAAGTCCTTTACACTACTACAAAAACAATTTTTAGCAACGGGAGATTTTTTTAGGGGCGGCTCCACTACCAACCGCCCTTATAGTGGGTGAGCTCGGGTCCCATAATTCCAGCCGCCCCTACAAATCTAACAATAGGGGCGGCTGGTGATACGAGCCGCCCTTATAAATGGGTAGATTTATAGGGGCAGCTCACTCATCGACCGCCTCCGGTGTTGTGATTTGTAGAGACGGCTCAATCACCAGCCGCCCCTACAAATGCTGCACGTATAAAAGGCCTCCTCGCGTCACTTGCTTGCTCCCTCCTCGCCTCCACGACGCCTTCCTCGCCTCCGTCGTCCTCCTCCTCGCCTTCCCCGCGCAGATCCGGCCTCCTCCTCACCTCCCCCGCCCTCCTCCTCGCCTTCCCCGTGCAGATCCCGCCTCCTCCTCACCTCCCTCGCCCTCCTCCTTGCCTCCACTGCGGCGGCACGGAGCCTCGGCCGAGGCAGCGCATGGGTGCTGGCTGGTGGCCGGCGACAGATCGGGCCACGGCGGGCCTAGATCCGGTCCCAGCGCGGCGAGCGGAGGCTCGGAGAGGGGCCCGCCCGGAGCGACGGGATGCAACCGAGGCCGAAGGACGCCATAGAGAAGGTGGAGGCCGAGGCGGCGCCCAAGGCGGCGGGGGGGTCGGAGCTAGGGTTCTGGCTCACGGCGCCCCTTTGATTCCGCCTCGATCCTCCCTGATTCCCCGATCTAGGGGTTTTGCAGTTTGTAAAGCATCGGCGCCTTTGATTCCGCCTTTTCAAGCGTTTCTGGGGAATTTTAACTGAGGTTTTGTTTGTTCCCCATTTCTATGTGGTTTTAGGTGGCTACGGTGGTGATGAGGTAGTTGCGGCGGTAGATGGTTGCCATGGCGGCGGTGAAAGTGGAGGAGGACAAGGGGAGCGCGTGGAACTGGCCCAATCTGGCGACGTCGAGCCCTTTGCCGTCAGCTTCAGACGCAACAAGCTATGGAGCTGGCGCGGGGATGTCGCCGGTGGTGTTCAGCCCGGCAGACTCAGTCTCTGGTCGCAGGTAGTACTCTCCGCCGCTGTGAACCGTTCGAGAATTGAGACTCTGCTGCTGTGTTCTAGTGGTTGCTTACTTCATCCGGACACTTGTGTGCTTAGTTCATTGGATCATGGATTGGATGTGATTTTCATTTGTCTTGGAAAAGTGGTGTTTCTAATAGTTTGTCAAGTTAGCTGGTGCGGTTCGCCCGGTAGTTTTATTCTCGAGAACATGTCATTGCCTTTATGTCATTGTGTGGTGTACTGATATTGATTTTCTAGAAAAACTAATTTCTTAAATGCTATATATTATGTTCTGTAAGTTTTACATATTTCTATAGCTGATGATTGCACCCCAGTCGTATAGGAAACTAGGAGTGCTATATCTTTTGGCTTCCCTTGCTCTGATGTGGTGATGTTAGTAATGGCTCTCAAGATGACTATGTAGGAATAAATGTTTAAAAAAAGTACTTTTGAGGTAATTTATTGATATTTAGGCCAAATGTATGGAGTTAAAAATAATGGTTGACCAGGGAGATACACCGACAGTAATTCAATAATTAATAATTTTTGCCCATTTTGAGGTCCACACTTATTTTATAACACGGACTCTGCAACTTTCAACAAACCACTTTTTTCGAAGAGAACATGTTTATTATACTAACCATGAACTCCCCACAAGCAAATGTTCATCGTTTCAAAAAATATTAAGTTGTTTTAAAGATTTCCTCATGTTTTAAATCCTGAT